GCTATGGCCTGACATCATTAGGATCTATTCCTTCTTCCCAGACCAGTTTGCCATATCTGCAGTCAAACATGCAATCTTGGATCAGCCTCTTACACTGACTTCCTCATTTGTTGGAAGACTGTCCTCCTTGTATTGAGGGACTGCTGATGCACCATAGTTTTCATTAATCAAAGTATGGTACAAATTTGCAGTGTAAATAAGGAAAGGGATGGGAAATAATAGAAGATTTATTTATGGATTAATTATGGGCATGGTAGTATTGGGAAGACGGTGTTCCCTTCCTGCTTCCTTGTTTCGGGAAAGAGGTGATACAGAGAGGATTTAAGAGGACATGGTTGTTCTTGGGAAGCAGTTAAGAATGATTAGTTATAAAGACTGAAATGGTGGGACTGCTTAGTTTAAAAGAACTCTAACAAGAAAGAACTATTTGAACCTAGGGGCTGAGGAAGAGAGGGAAGTCCATTCTACAGCCCTTCTGTGTAATTACCTAACATTCAATTTGATTGCTAGCTCTGAACTGATGAGCACATGCTGGAAAGAATTGATATTTTAGATCTTCTGGATTGTCATAATTGAGGTCTACTTAATAAATGTTAGTGCTCTGGATGGCAAGCTTCTGAAGCTGCCTCAGATTTAACCAGTAAATGTTGTAAGGCAGTGGGGTCCTGCCTTTTTGTCAGGTGTGCCACAGTAGCCTTGCATCCTCTTCAAGTGCCACTCCCGTCCCTTTTCTGTGCCCATTCAGATGCTTTGCTTTCTGCTCCCTGCCTGATCTGTTGCCCTGCTTTCTGCTCCCTGCTCTGGCTGCTGCTGTGCTGCCTTTTCCCTCCCCAGTCTGCTGCGTGCAACACACACAGGCTACCCATGCTGCACACTAGTCACCCCTGTTGTAAGGAACTAAAGAAATGTTGGTTCAGTGTATGGTGTTAACAGTTTTGTCACTCAGTGTATAACTGGCCTGTGAGAAGCAAGTGTGGGTTTTTGGGTTTTTTTGTTATATCTTTTATTGGACTGGCTGTATAGCTGGGAGAAATGTTAAACCAGTTTTCAGACACGAAATCCCTTTCTTCAGATCATGGGGGTTTTTTTTATGATTTGTCAGTGACACTCATGGTGATGTGAAGAGAGTACAAACATGGCTATGATGTATGTTTTTGCTGCATGTTCTGCAGCCTTCCAACTGTTCTTTATTTTTGTTTTGTAGTGTCCAGCCCTCAAACAGTTGTGGAGTTGTTCTTTCAGGAAGTGGCAAGAAAACTCATAATTTCTCACTTCTTCTCTCAACCCAATGCCTCTTTGACAGAAACCAGTTTGAATTGGCCTCATCTGATTACTACAGTTATCGCTGATCTCCTGCCACTTCTGTATCCTTGAATAATGAAGTTGTGATGAAGAACTGTGTATAACTGGATGTTACACAATGCTGTAAATCGGGGGTCAACAACCTTTTATTAAGGGTGGGCCACCCATTGAGGTCTGGCTGTCACCTCGGGCAATCAAACCCCAGTGTGGTCTCTGCTCATCATCCCTGCTGACAAGTATGGGGAGCCAAGAGTTGCAATGGCTAATTTGGTAGCGATGGGGCAGTAGTGGATGCAGTGGGAGGGAGAGATAGCAGCCTTCTCAACAAAGCACGGGGTTGGAGCTGGAGCAGCAGCTGGGATCAGCAGGCCATTAGTAAAATGCAGGCTGGATCAGGTGGAAGTAGGGGTTGGCCAGCCATTATTAAAATACGGACTAGATCAGATCTTTGTGGAACAGATATGGTCTCATTTAGGGCTGGATCTGGCCCATGGGCCGTAGATTGCTGACACCTGCTGTAGATTACAGGTAACAGCGGTCTGCTTTTAAGAGTAATGCACAGTTTGAAGGATCAGATCTAGATGCCTGAAGTTGGGCTCTTGAATCCATATTTAGCCTCTGAAATAAATGCCCTAATTCCAGGTGAGGTTACTATGATATGTAGGTGTTTGGAGCTTTTCAAAGTCAGGTCAATTTCAGGTGCTTTAAACATGGGTTTGAAAACTAACCTTAGGACCTCAAGTGTGAAAAACTTGGTATGTTTATTGGGTTGAGAGATTTTTTTCCCCCTCGCCACCTTCAGCCCCCTGAGGAGTTGAGTGGTGGTGGAGTTGGATTAGCTAATGGCTTTGCCCGGCATGCCTGAATACTGTTACAGTAAAACAAATTCATATAAAGCAGCCTAATCTCTTTACTCTTGAGCAAACTGAACACCGGAGGCATACGCATTTCAAAGCTATTATTTTTAAAGCTCGTCTAGACTAAATTTTTGCTTTCTTTCCTGACTGCAGAGGAATTGCCCTGTTCCTTAGCTAATGCTCAGGTGGCCCAGCAATCCTGGGTTTCTCTTCCCAGAATGTTTAATGGGGAGCTGTCAGTATACCCAGCTGCAGGTGAGTTGTTAGCACATGTGGAAAATAATTCTTTCTCTTTAACAGCAGCGTCCACAAAATGAAGAATGTATCTCATCTATTGATTTTTGAGCCAGAAAATACCCAGTACTTTTCCTTGTTTGTGTAGGAAAGAAAAGACTAGAAACTGACTTTGCATGGGAATGAATGTTCATAACCAGCCCGCTGGTTAGAGACAGAACAAATCGATATTCTCTAGATCAGGGATGACCAAGATACAGCTCATGGAACAGATCTCATGATGGTTTTTCTAGCCAGCAGGGTTCCTTTCAAGTCTGGAAACTTGGTGACAGAACAACTGGTAGCTGCTGCTTGAATTTCCTATCACTAAACTTCTAGACCCATTTCTAATTTTTAGTCCTTATGAGCCAGATAATGAGCCAGCTCCTTATTTGGCCTGCAGACCGACTCTGTGCCACTCGTACAACTCACGGGGCTGGATAAGTCATGTACCACTGTTCTAGATGGAGGATGAGAGGCACTATGATATGACTACTTGATAAAGACCAATTTTTGAGGGTGTTCTTGTGGCCTTACTCATATCTGAATTATCTGGTTCCTGTTCAGGCTTAGCTACTCCTTTGGTGCCCTTGACCAGTCTCTGCAGCCTCTCCAGGGGACAGGCCCTGGAAAGGGCTTGTACTGGGATAAAATCTCGCGATTCTCTTGTTCTTTGTTCTGGGTCCTTGGGCTATAGTACCCCATGATTGTTCAGCA